ACATACACACACACACACACACACATAGGGTGTCCCAAAAAGGTCGGGACACCTAAATATCTCGGGAAATAATATAAGTTTATACTGATCCTCTATCAGTTCGATCTTGGGTTGCGTAGCCAAGGTCAGATCAAGGTTACATTGATTTTCTTAAATGCAACACTATTTTTGATTCAAGAATCTAATAGCTGATGTCGAGAGCTTTCCAAAACGCTGTAATAAAATATTTTTTCATGAAGTATTTTTCAAGTTATAATGCTTCAAAGTTACAGTATCGCCGGCACTAGCATTACCCAAGATATGTAATACCACGAGGAGGTTAATGCTAGTGCCGGCGATACTGTAATTTTAAAGCATTATAACTTGAAAAGTACTTCATGAAAAAATATTTTATTATAGCGTTTTGGAAAGCTCTCGACATCAGCTTCTTGAATCAAAAATAGGGTGTTCCATTTAAGAAAATCAATGTAACCTTGACCTGACCTTGGCTACGCAATCCAAGGTCAAACTGATAGGATCAGTAAATAGATATTTTTAAACCATATAACTTTTGTCCGAAACATTTTTCTGTAAAACTTATATTTCCCGAGATATTTAGGTGTCCCGACTTTTTGGGACAGCCTGTAAGTATGTATGTATGTATGTATGTATGTATGTATGTATGTATGTATGTATGTATGTATGTATATATATATATATATACAGGATGTTTCAGAAGTAATAAAAAATTTTTTCACATAGGGATAGAATGGACTAAACTAAGAAGAAAAGATCTGTATCATTTTACAATTTTCGCAATAGTTAACGAGATATTAATTTATAAAAATATCCAAATTCGCCCGACCCACCGCCAAATGCGCACGGCTGAATACGACCACCCAGCGAGGCGTGCCGCGCTCGTTCGCCGTCGCTAGACACGCGTTGTTTATAACGGCAAAAATCGTCGTTAAATAATGTCCATTCATAATGTTATAACAATGCGTGCCTAGCGACGGCGAACAAGCGCGGCGCGCCTCGCTGAGCGGTCGTATTCAGCCGCGGACTTGCATTTGGCGGTGGGGGCCGGGCGAATTGAATATTTTTATAAATTAATATCTCGTTAACTATTGCGAAAATTGTAAAATGATACAAGACTTTTCTTCTCAGTTTATTCCATTCTATCCCTATGCAAAAAAACTTTTCATTACTTCTCAAACACTCTGTATATATCACAAGATAAAACCTTCAAAATTTCAAGTTATTAATTTTCGCGATTCGTTTTCCACGATTCTGCCGACGATGGTGTCCATATTGTGTTGAGCGAACGGAACGGATCAAATCCCGATCTTTCCTGGAATGATAATTAAAAATAATTACGAATTTATGTGAAATTAAAATTTTTTTAGGGGTTGGCCCACACTTTCCATAATAGCATCGTAAGTCAGTCAATCAGAGCTTTTTTGCTCTGCGATTGAAAATTTTTGAAAATTCTGTGATTGGTTAATTCTTACAGGACGTCTTATATGATTACTGTTACGGAAAGCGGCTTCTTATATTCGTTAGCCACATACTTGTGTGTCTGCCTCAGATTGTAATGTTTGCGATATTATGGGAGGTGCGGCCGCACCCCAGGGTGCTGCAGCCCATACACCTCCAGTATTAATTCCCCATACACCACGTTCTTCTCCGACTGCTGCCCTAGTGTGCAATGGTTCCCAGTTTGTATCGACTGTCCAATTATCTGTAAATATATAGATAAAATAGTAAAAGTTCACTTTAATTTTAAAAAAATTCAGCGAACATTGATCAATTTCGTATTTATTTTTAAATATAGGACAGTAAAAACCGAAGCATAGATACCTTTGCATAATGCATAAAAAAATTAACCAATCAGAATTCTAACTGTTTAAATTTCTTTCTAAATAGACTAATATACCTTTCAAGTTAGACAAAACAGGTTTCTCTGGGGTTTTCGGTGACTCCAACTGAAATCCGTTTGTACTCTCAGATAATAAATTTATCATAGGACTAGTGTCTTCCCACAGTTGGCATCGTGTGTCTTCTTCGGGAGTCTCTAATTCTACTAACGGTTCATCAGTTTCTGGAAGATCGTCGTACGGCACCAACTCGCATTCAAACTGCTGATAATTTGACAACTGACAGTTTTATCAAATAATATTCGATAAAATCAATTAAAACTGTGACTTACTGAAGGTTCTGTAAAAGTATTGATGAAATAACTATTCGAGTGCTGCGATTTAGACTGCAAAATCAAAGGATCTGGTTCCTGCAATTTATTGTTGACGTTTGTACTACAAAGAGGGGCTGGATTTGACATCAAACTGTATTCTTTTAGTGTTTGCGACGACTCTTGCACCAATTGAGATTTAGTACCCTGAACGTCTTTAACATCAGTATTAAATGCTGTGGACAGATTTGACGTGTTTGTTTGACTTTTGTGATTCACTTGATTTACGTTGGAAAACGACGAGGCAATCTCTTGACTTCGTGCCACTACGTCGCTGAACTTGGCTCTGTTTTCGCCCCAACAAGAGGGCGGAGGTGATAAAGGGATGGGTATTGTTCCTACGATACGTGTTACATCCTCTTTTTGACTTATGTTTCCATTTACAGGAGAAGCTGAAACGAATAAAAACGTATTTTTTTATGTATACAGAACATGTATTATAGATCTGATCGGAATTATGCCATCTGCCTAGAAAACGCAAATATATAGAAAAATTGAATAATTCCGATCGGAATCTATTCCAGATAGTTTCATAGGATATACTTCTACTGTTTTAACTATATATTTTTATGAACCACTAAATGCCTTAAAATAAGGACATTTAAGAGAATTGTGAGAAAAGGTTCAAAATTCCATGCTATTTTATATTTTCCCCTGACTCTTTTCCAGATTTTCCATAACCAATTTAAATTTCCATGACTTCTAATTTTTTAGACCTGTGATAACTTTGATATATGATAATAATACATACATTTAACTTTTATTTTGTCAGCTACACGACGTTTCTGTACAATCTTTTCCTTTCGTGGTGGATTCTTATTTTGACGTGATAACTTCAAGGATGATTCGACGATACGAGAAGTATGAATATGTTTTGTGTTGAGTCTAGTAGTGTTTGTCTTCCATCTATTTGGATTATTCTGCTTTTCCTTATCGTATTCATCATCATCACAGTCGCCTTCATAGTTGTCCTTATAATCTATGCATGGCACAGGAGGAATAGATTGAGGTTTGTTTTTTTTAGATACCGGCTTTTTTTGCAGCTTCTCTTGTTTCTCGCACGGTTGAGCAAAACTCTGAGAATAAATTATAAAAGAAAAATCGTTTTATAGAAGTCTAAGAAAAATTTATATCGGTTCACATAATTCAATAACAATCAATATTTTAATTTCGCGACAAGAGTTTTATTATAAACAAAGTGAAATCACTTATTTTAAAATACTTTTTTTTAAACATACCTTTTAATTTTTAAAAATCCTACATCAATACTACAATAGAATAATTATAAATATCTAATACCTGGAAATTAAATAGTAAAAAGTTTATTGTTAAAATTAACAATAAACTTTTTACTATTTAATTTCCAGGTATTAGATATTTATAATTATTCTATTGTTAAAATTAACAATAAACTTTTTACTATTTAATTTCCAGGTATTAGATATTTATAATTATTCTATTGTAATATTGATGTAGGATTTTTAAAAATTAAAAGATATGTTTAAAAAAAAGTATTTTAAAATAAGTAAAAATCATATTGGGAGTACAAATTAGTTCGGTCCGTTTTCCAAAAGACGACTCCGGCTGTTGTGAATGGTTCATAGTGACAGCTTTTTGTGTTAACCAAGCAGCATTTGCGGGAGGTTTTAATTTTCTTTAATTGGAAGAAAACTGCAGCTGCAGCCCATCGAATGTTTGTCGAAGTTTATGGTTGTAGTAACTCAACAAGTCGTTTCTGTACGATTGAAAGCCATGGGAATGATTTAAAAACAAGGAAATTGAGTGCCTTATGAACGAGAGACGTTGAAAGGCGATTTTTCACTTGTGAGCAGCTGATTCAAAGGCAACAAAGAAAAGGTTTTTTTGCATCGGATTGTGACTGTGAGAAGTGGATATTCTACAATCCCAAGGAGCAAAAATACTACGCTAAGCCCGGTCAATCGTTGCCATTAACCTCAACATCAACACCAAAGCCGAACATTCATGGTTCGTAGATCATACTCTGTATCTGGTGAGACCAAAAGGGTATTGTTTACTATGAGCTGCTGAAACCTGGCGATTCCATTACGGGCGATCGGTATCGGCTTCAATTGATTCGTTTGAACCGTGCATTGCGAGAAAAACGGCCGGAATACAAGCAAAGATAAGTGATAAAGTTATTTTTCTTCATGACAACGCTCGGCCTCATGTCGCAAAAGTCGTAAAAAAATATTTAGAAACGCTCAAATGGGATGTTTTACCGCACCCGCTGTATTCTCGGGACATTGCTTCTTCTGATTACTGGTTGTTCCGAAGGATGCAGCACGATTTAGCAAGTCACCGGTTCACTTTTTTCGCAGAAATCGAAAATTGCCTCCAAAATTGGATCGCCTCCAAAGACGAGTCATTTTTTTCGAGATGGAATTCGAAAATTGCCTGAGAGATGGAAAAAAGTAGTAGCCAGCGATGGACAATACTTTAATTAATTTGTTCATTCATTTTGTTTTGAAATAAATGCATTTTTGAACACAAAAAAAAGGACCGAACTAATTTGTACTCCCAATAATATGGTTATTTGATTAATTCATGACATCTTAAGACAGTCTTAAATGTAAGATCCGACTATGAATACTGGCCTAGGACTTACTTTACAAGACATTGTTTCATCATGAGTCGAACTCTCTGTGGTCGTGGACGAGGTTTCTTCTTCCGAAAGATGAATTGTCTTTTGAATGCTCGTCGATTCGAGCTTTTTCAATGAAACGTGATTATTGTGATTATTACTGTTGCTTCCATTACTATTTATCTGTTTATTGCGTTTATTGTCGGACTTGTTAGTCCGATTGTTATTAACTATCGTCACGTCCATTTGAATATCATGATTATTCAACTTTGGCTCGTCCTTAATACTCGATTGCGTTTTTCCTTTTCTATTTGATGTTGGACTCAACTTTGTAACCGTATCGACAATATACCTTTTCTCTTGACTCAATTGAGTCTCCGTGAGTACATCATTTGTCATGCAATTGTCTGATTGAGCCTCTTGAACGTTATTTTGTTTCTTACTATTCTTTTTCTTCGATACATACATATTTGTCGTATTCACGACTTTTACAAAAGACAATTCCTCGAATCGCTTAAAAGATAACCGATTCTTGGATTCTGTGTCCAATTTGAATTTACGTTCTTCTTCGGCAGACCAATCCGGGATCTTTAATCCTTTCTGCACATCTTTGTCCTTGTCTTTTTTCACGTTCATTAATGACCAATCCGGAAATACTTCATCTTTTTTCGTTTTGCTTTTCTCGTTACTTGTAATGGTTTTTTCGTTTTTATTAGTGACGCAACTCCTGTCACCGCTATTTCCTTGCGTATTATTTGAGATATGTGACAACAGCCTTAGATCCAGAGGCGGTTGCACCGAATTCTCCTTTGAGTAATTGGTCAGGCCTTCCCGTAGTATTCGGTCCGCTTCAAGGAACGAGACCACAGCGACGCATAGCATTAGTACTGACGAAAGGATAAGTGCGGCCTTTTGTACCGCGCTTTCCCACGGTGGTCTAGCAAGCACAGACGCGCACAACTTTATCGCGTGTGCCGGCAAAGTCGCTAACAGATTAAGTGTCACCACCCCGTTCTCAATATTCTCGTCGGTATCCGGTCCCATGCTCGTTATTACCAGCAGCTTTCGTTCCACGCGTGACAGTGTAAAGTCCGGAGTGAACGCTATCTCGATTCTTTTAGTAGCATTTGGATTTAACTTGAAAGGTGCACAATCCAGTACCTTGAAGCCATAGCCCTCGCAAGGCCAATCATTGATATAGAAACCATAAATTTCGATCGGCAGCTCCCCCGTATTTCTAGCCGTAAAAGATCGCTTTACGGTGAAAGTTGTCACATGTTTCTTGCGATCTTCTGGAAAAGGGAAACATTATAAGAAAAATGTCTTCCTTTCGATTATGATAATTAAGATAAATTTAAAAACCACCAAGAAATATACGCGGTACAATAACTTTAGAACATGCTTTATGAATGTAGTAACAAAACAATAAATTAAACACATGAAAAGATGCAAATCTTTTTCCGAGATTATGATGCGAAAATGAGGAAACGTACATACGTTCACAATCTTTAAGATGTTTATTCGTCAGTTCGAACAACAGAGGCGTAGTTGATCCTGGCTTGCGATGGCCGAATCTAAATTGTGCGCTCGCGCCTCGACCGCTCATACGTAGGACTTCTAAAATAGTCATATTATTTCTGGAAAGCCAGTAAAATGTGCGTCAATACATGAGGCAAAAGCATTATCTCTTCTCCCTCTTTCTATTAACTTGCCTAATATATAAAAACCCAGATGACGTCGAAGTGGAAAAAGGTGTGTATGTTATGTGAATCGTCCTCGTTTCTAAAGGATTTAAATTTAAAGGAAGTGAATGAGGCGCTATCGTTACGCCCCATTGTTTCTCAAATAGTTCTCGCTCATTCGCATTCTCTTCTAGTTTGAACTCCTCCAGAGTCATTGGCAAATATTCTTCACACGCGGGTTTAAATCTGTGCGAACATTAAATGTTTCATCGTTAATTTCTGACCTAAATAAAAATGATTTACAAAACGATTATCAAATCGATTACATACTTCATTGGTAAAGACTGATAAAGACGCGCTTCTTGAGGATAGTTCCAACCCATGACTAGCTGAACTATCAATGGACCCGCACTCGGATTGTACAGCTTAATTGCTCTGTACGATGTGTTTCCGACTTGTGTCAGCGGGAACATCAGGACACTCTTGTTCTTTATGTTACTTGTTAACATGCTCGGCCAATACGGCTTGATGTTTAAATAAAATCTATGACTGCGCACTTCGGTTGTGTCCAAGCGCATCGTGATATTTTCCCAAGAACCATTCGCGGTGGAGTTGATAAAGCGTACATATCGCGTGTTCAGAAAGTTCAAGTCAGAATCACGAGTGTGCGAAGGAAGACTCATCGTATTCAACCACTGATTACCCGCTGCAAAATAAAATGTAACTATACATCTAAATTAAATATAATTACAATGTAATCATAAAAACGCAATGCATATTTTAAGTTTACAAATAAGAAAATACGAATGCCAGATGTATCGCTTACCGTTGGTATCTAACGATAAACCTACGTAACACCGTTGTTTGCAAGTCACTGAAGGATCAATTTGTATCGAGCCAACATTATTTTCGCCTTTGGATATGACAGGCATTGTAGCTTCCTCCAATGGAATGTATTTTATCCTGTTGTCTCTGTTTATAGGCACGATGTGCGTCACTTTCATCGGTCTTGAAAATGTAGAATGCACCTTCACTTGCTGCACACAGACTGATCCCTATATGATATTAAGAGATTACGTAAAGTTACTTTCTTGTTAAGTAGTATCAGGGGTGGACAAAATACTAAAAAAATTATATTTAAATATAAAATACAAAATACTAAAAAAAATTGTATTTAAATACAAAATATTCAAAAAAATATATTTATATACATAGTTTAATATTCTTTTATAAATACAAAACACTTTTTTCCTATTTTATTTAAACTTATTTTATGCAGGGGTGGGAAAAATATACATTAAAATCGTATTTAAATAGAAAATACCTTTTAAAACATATATTTAAAGAAAAATGAAGGTACAGCTTTACTGATGTTTTCATTCTAAAGTTATACGTTTGGATATCGCGTGTCACTCGCTACAAACATGGCGTTGGTGCCGGTCTGCCGGTATAACAGTGACATAAGCTGCGGCTTTTATCTTCCTGTCACTCTAATCTTTTCGAGTCCTTGCATCCCGAGCCAATCAAAAGATTCGGATCACGTGGCGACTCTCTTCTTGGGTGCGTTCCGATTTCACTGCCAGTGCTGAAAATCTATAGTGCACGTAACATATACTGTATAGTTTCAGCATTGGCAGTGAATATCGGAACGCCCCCATTATAGACTCTCTAGCTTTTGATCCCGGATTCCACCGGGCAATCTGATGTATTTAGTATTTACAACAAATTTAAAATACAAAATATTAAAAAAAAGTATTTAAATACAAAATACAAAAATGTATTTAAATACGTATTTAAATACATTGTATTTCAAATAAAATAAAAAAATGCCCACCCCTGAGTAGTATTGGCTTTTATATGAAAAGTTGGATTACAACTCACAGGAAAGCAACCAGTAAAAATAAGCTTCTTTAAGGATATTTTGCCATGTGCAACTCGCATATACACCGGTAAGGTAAATCGCTCGTAGGTCGTTCGCACAAAAACATCGCCAACAATTGTGTCTTCCTCAACCATGGGAGTCTTCACTTTAATTTTAAAAATTGCCAGAAACTTTGGTTTTATATATTGCTGAAGTAAGAATTAACATATATTTATGGAAAATCATGTTATATATGACGAACAAAATGTACATTTATTGTGTAAAACTCACATTCCCAGAATGACTGCATACAGTTATATTTCGAAATTCCTTATCTAATAAATCCGCAGGACCATTTTGACATCCCATCAATTCTAAAACCGCCCCAGGCATATTCACACCCCAACTGTGTAGCTCCACATTGACGGGATTCTGATTCTCTAGTGCAAAAATTGCCTCATTCTCCGTACCACTTCCTACAGTGCCGAAATTCATTGTCTCCATATCGTCTTCCTTCTCGCCTGGTATAATTTTTTTCAGTTTGCCGTCATAACTCAACACTGGAACTTCGGTCACCGATACATTTGAATGTATCAATATTGATGACTCCATTTTCACATTATCACCCTTTCTTTCTTTGGCAAGTTGTAAAGAAAATATATTGATTTTTTGTTCAGGTTTTATTACTCTAGGAATGAAATCTTTTATCTGAAAGAGTCACACAACTTTTTTTACTTTAAAAAGGTAACTGAGGAACAGAGTTGAGAAATAAAACGAAAAAAGATGATATTGAGTGGTTGTAAAAAAAATAACAATTCTTACCGTAAAAAGTGATTTTGCGTTCGAACACATCGTGACATTCGTAATAGCTAAAGGTAATTTAAATTTATTCACCACACTGAAGTTTCGAGCTTGATTAGATTGTGGAGAACAATAATGAGTAATCGATGTGTTTACTTCTAATCCGCCTTGTAATACTTGGGCTACCCAGGGAATTGCTAATTTCTGACTAGAACCACCTGGGCCTATTGCTTTTATTATTAATTTGCCTTTAAAGTGTTGCAAGTCCAAACCGGTTTTCCCTAAGAAAATTAATATTGAATTATTCTAAATATTGATAACAATTATAAGACATTTTTTATAGTAGAAAAGATTACATCTTACAATCGTAAACCAACATTCCAATGGCGATTGGTATATCTGTCTCTCCCGGAATTATTGCTGGCTCAAAATGTAGTTTTAATGCTTTTGATACAGGTGTATTTATAATATTCTACGAAAAATATTTTGTTTACTTAGGAATATCTCAGAGAATTACTATTTTCTTATATAAATCAATTCTACACTCGAAAAGATTTGATATCATTTGTACACGACTTACCACAACTTTAATTGGTTTTTTTGCGGAATTTTTTAAAGCAATTGGGTGGCGAATAGGTGGTTGTAATGATCCACCCATACCTAAATTAATTATTCCTGAACTTCCACCCCAATGAAGACCAGCTCCATTTTTGACTTCTACTTCAACTGCTATCACAAGAATCTCAGCAGTATTATTTACTTTAAATCTGTAACATATATATATATATATATATATATTACCAACATACTCAATTGTATATATTAAAATATTCTTTTTATAAATAATTTATTCTATTATACATTCTAAGTGCCCACCTAACATATGCTGTATAATTCTTTTCTACATAAGCATTGAAAGATAGTCTGATGATAGGTTTCGTTTGATAAGGTAAAATTTCCCATAATTCACGAGTGCCTTCTGACTCGCCTGATGGTAATTCCAATTGAAATTCTCCGCCACTACTATATACTTCCATCACCTTCGTTTGTGCAACAGATAAAGAAAATAATTATAAATTATATAATAACTGATACTTACATAATACATTTTATATAAATAATATTTCTTATAATTTTTTATTCATGTATTTTTTGTCTATGTAATTAATATTTACATACTTGTAAAGCTTCTGGATGTGGATTGTGCATATATATAAGTGGTGTAAAAGATGCATTTAATGGTAACTTGATATCAACTACAGGTCTGAGTCTGTAAGGACTACTGACACTTATCCCTTTGACCTGTGGATTAAGAAATACCTTACTGCAAGTATATGTATATTTAGTATTAATACTGTAACTAATTGTAAGCAAAACCTTTATTACCTGATATTTTAGTGTCCCATGTGAAGTATGTATAAAAAGGTATGTGTCAATATCGCCTTCATCTCGACCAAGGAATATTACATTAAATGTTGTATTTCCAAGTGGTGGAATTACCTAATACAAAAAAGATATTAATTCTATAATTATACATGATTTCTTTTATATTGTCATGCCCGCGCTTTGCCGCCACCTGTTGTGTGTTGAAGAGCGCGTCACCAGGACGATTCAGCCGCTCAGCTGTCAAACACAGAGAGGATGGTAAAGCTGTCGCCGTGCTCGGACGTGCTTCTCCATCGATCTACGATTTGTATCATTCTATTCTGTGTTCAGAGCTCTACTCTAATAAATAACTCTTGTTCTTATGTGTTGTTTATTTTGGCGGGAGTGCGCGTTTGCGTTTGTATGAGTGACATTACGAATCGGCTGCACGGGCATAACAATATATAATATAAATCGGATATTTAAAGATTATGTAGCATTACGAGTATTAGATACATCCATGCTTCAATTGATCTATTTCTTGTTCTGAGATTATCGTCACACCGTCTGATAACTTACTTTGTTTTGAAAAAACGACGAATGGAAATGACGTGTATTTCCTGATATCGATGAAAGATGTACAGTTCTATTGTGATCTTTGTTAAACATAATCACAGTTTCTTGATGAGGAATACCAAGTTGTCTAGAAAATTATATTATTTTAATTTAATTTTTACATAATTATTGGATCGTACGAGATACTACGTTAAATAATACCTTTCTTTGAAATCTAAGATATTTGGTTCAAAAGAAATATGAGAGAATGAATCCTCTATTTTTTCTTCATTCGATACAGCATCCCTTAAAACACATGACAATGCCATTTAACAAATAATCGGTACATTTTGGTATGTAGTATTTCTTAATAGTAAAAATTGAAAATAAGAAAGGTATAAGAAAAATTAGTATCACATACACAAGAAAATTGATTTGACATACTCTTAGTAAAGCAATGTTTAGAATTCTAGCTCTTTTTATTAGAATAACACAATGAAATGATTATTCAGTTGGTTTTAATAATACATTTGCTAGAATGTATTGATTTCATTATTAACAGCTCAAAAATATTTTATATATATACAATAATTACAATCTCTATTTTTTAAAACATATATTTAACTACTTTTAAAATTTCTAGTCAATTCCTTTTTTTAGAATACGTGATATAAAACAAGTTTAAATTATTTGATCTTCGGTTTGCAAATGGTCTTTTTTTTTTACAAATCATCCACACTTAGCAAATGTTATTCATAGATTAAGTAAAAGAGTGACAATAAGACTTCAATGATTAATTAACTTCAATGGTCGTAAATGAAATATGGAGTTAGATAAAGACGAAGTATATACCAGCAAAATTTTTTTCTTATGCAACATAAAGTTTGCAAGGTTGTTCACAATATATAGGATAATTCTGTACAATCCTAAGGTAAATGCCAAAAAGAAAAATTATAATGAATACCTTTCCTACTTTCACTTACCATTTTTTAAATGAGTTTTATGCTTACCCAACATGTACTGTATTACCAAAATCCTACAAATACAAACAAAAATTACAATATAATATTTTAGTTGTAAATATCCTATTTTAATAAAGAACAATTATTCAAGCATTAGATTTGCATTATATTTTTTACTGTTCTTCACAAATAAATTAATGTAAAGTTTTTTACCATTACTGTACAAGTTTATGTTAATTATTTCTCTTATGAATATTTTAGTATTAATATAATTATATAATGCACATGTAACAAAACCACTAACCTTATGTATAGATATTGGCATATTATCCAAAAGATATTGAACATCGTTGTCATCTTGAACAAAGGCTATAAAATAAAAAAAATTATATTTATACAGTTAAAATATATTCCTACTTTACTTTTAAAATGATACAACTAAAAAAAATTAAACTTTAACAAAAGGGAAAAACCTATTTTTCAACAGAAAACTTGTTTTTAAACAAAAAGTTAACCAATTAAATAATCAATCAAAAGAGTACATTCATAAGATGATCAAATGTTTTTTGTCATTTTCATTATATAATCCTTTATATATATATATATACATATATATAAAATCATTCTTTTCAGGTTGTGACAATTTTGATTACCTTTAATAAAATTAGATCGTGTGTTTAATAATTAATAGGAAAATATTTACTTTTATATTCACACAAGTGACAATACTAATAATTCAAAAAACACTTTTTTTATTATAAAAGAAGAAAATTTATTTCCTTTTAGCTTTATATATCAAGAAGGAACCTTGATTTATGGAATATATTTTAACACACTTATTTATTCACACACACACACACACACACACACACACACACACACACGCACGCACGCACGCACGCACGCACGCACGCACGCACTCACGCACGCACACGCACACACACACACACACACATCTACTTATCCTAAACCTTTCTATTCTTAAATTATTATTATATATATATCTTGCCCATTTATGAGGAGGGTGTTTTTTTTCAGTTTGTCACTTTTGAAGTAACGAAGCAATTATACAACTGTGAGAATTATGATCCAATTTACACTTACACACTCATAAACATCACTTATTCTTATTGAACATTTGATAAATAAGGATAAAATGATTCTTCTGTGTCATAGGATAAATTAGATCACAGCCAAGAAGCATAATTAATAAGTTTTCTACAATCAATTGTTATTTAAGTTTCAAGTCTTAAATCGTAAGAAATTAACCAATTTTATAGGTATTGCAGCAACCTTGTAACGTTGCTGGAACGTTTCAAAATATTTTTTGCTTACTGGATAGGTAAGTAACAAGTAGCGCTTAAGATTATATTGATCCTTTATCGTTATTGTGATGATAATTACTCCGAGAAATTCGAAGATTTCGAAGAGTGAAAAGTGAGAAGTACTGATAGAAGATTGAAGAGAGAAAAAAAGAGGCGCGCATCGCTGAAACGCGTGACGCGCGAAGCTTTGCGGGCTTTGCGGTGAGATATGACCTTCATTGTCGCAATAGGCACATCATTGATGAACATAGTGAGGGATCGCGAAAGCGGGTCTTATTGCGCCTTGCGATGGATTCCGCGTACGCGCGCGATTGTTAAACGCGGATCGCTTTGGTTGCATCAAAATAGTCCATGTGGTGAAGAGATCGAAAGAGAAACAGGACGAGAAGGGAGGGGGAGGGAAAGAAACACTCACCATTGTTGTGGCCGTGCAGCGACGGTCGGATCTGCGACGTCGTGTCCAAAAACGTCAACAGGAACAGACAATAGAATACCTTTAACTCGAGCATAATGACACCGTTGCTAATGCTGTTCCAATGCTGTCACGTTCGCTGTTGTTGCCGTTGCTCGTTATTTTGTCTTTAGCAGACATGAGAGTCCACTTTCGGCCATGCTCCAGTACCAAACCGCGCGATATCGATTCTGCAATTCTACTGCTGGCGCGTACAGTTCTATATATAAAGAGAAACGACAGCAAACTCCCACCATCAGATCGGATCCCTACCATTAAAGCGGGGAGCACAGACTTTTGCATAACGCATAAACCATATACATAAAGAATTTGATTGGTCCATTGACTCATGCATAAGAAAATGGGCCAATGAAATTCCTTATGCACATGCTTTATGCGTTATGCAAAAGTCTGTGCTCCCCGCTTAAGCCGTAATCACAACCGACTCTAGCCGAGTCTAGAGTACCTATAATAAGAGTACGGCCAATAGGGTAACGATTGCTGATTGGTCCGTCAAATTGTGGCAAAAGCGGAAGTTGCGTGCCCATGTGTGCTAGATGTGTGTACCATTTATGTGTATGTATGTATGTATATACACAGCTATTTAGTATTTACATTGGTAAGTGGTAAGCGACTCGTTTGTTGGCATTTTATCATCAATCAGCGAGTGACATTTATAATAAATTAAGGAGAAGAAGAAGAGGTAAATGGCAAAAATTACATTGTAATTATATATTCATTTAATGAGATGAAAACGTTATTTTCTTGTGTAGAGTTATAACTTAACCTAGTTGTTTATTGATACATTATAGCTATCAATGCCTGGCTGTGTAGCAGATTATTGTACAAATTCCGTTAAAAAGATACATACAATGTCAGTTTTATACTTTAGAGCGCAGTTGAAAATGCGCGCACTTTTTGACGCGTTTCCGGTTTTACCTCATTCACGCTCTGTTGGCCGTACTCATAATATATGGCCGTACTCTTATTATAGGTACTCTAGCCTAGAGTCCTAGATATTAGAGAAGCGCAACCGATGTTCCGCGTCCTGATTAGCTGACTGTCAGCCAATCATGACATTCATTCGGTGGTATTAAAAATGGCTGACTAACAGACGATTGGTGGATTTCATATTTCGTCTGCAAACGACGCCATTTTTATTACTTTTCTTAGTAATTTTGCGATACTGACTTAAGCCGGTTGCGCTTCTCTGATATCTAGGACTCTACTCTAGCCGAGTCTAGCCCATGGTACATATAAAAACGTAAAGCCAGAAACACATAGAAAAACGTAAGGCCGTAAGACGTAAGTAAGGAAATCGTAAAGCGGGGAGCACAGCCTTTTGCATAACGCATAAACCATATACATAAAGAATTTGATTGGTCCATTGACTCATGCATAAGAAAATGGACCAATGAAATTCCTTATGCACATGCTTTATGCGTTATGTAAAAGTCTGTGCTCCCCGTTTAACATTGGATTTGCTACCGGCCTTACGGTCTCTACTGTGATTGGCCAAAACACTAAGGCGCGTCTACAATAGGGTTCGTAAGCTTAACATAAACGTAAACATAAGAAATCACTCCGCATCGTCTACAATAGCAGCCCATAAACGTAACGTAACATTAAATCGTAAACTCGTATTTCAGTATTCTAACCTCTGTACTACATAAGTTTTTATACAATATATAAGAATTTCAGAACTATATAATGGATATTTGTCGAGTTAAAAAAATTAGTCTTGTAATTATTCAACTAGCTACTATTGTTATGCAGTTATTAGAAAGAAAAAAGAAAAAGACTGCTAAACGAAAATATTGGGTTCGTCCACTATTATTGCAGCGAAAACATAATGGTCCTTTTTATACTCTTTTTCAATTTATTAAAAACCATGATGATGAGCAATTTTTCAAATTTACTTGAATGACTGTTTCACAATTTGAAAGACTACTTGAATTAGTACAAGAGCCTCTGACAAATAAAAGTCTTCGTGAGCTTCTCTCGCCGGCATATCGATTATGTATTACTTTATAGTAAGTATGTTTTGTAATATTTTTAATAATTTGTTATGTTTCTTGAACTATATTATAATACGAATATTTTATTTTATATAGTTATGTAGCTCATGGTTGCTCTATGCAAACTATTGCATGGAACTTTTTATAAGCCGGAGTCAAAGGCGTAAAAGTTCAAATAAACCAACTTTTACGTTTACGCTTATGTTAAGCTCACGGATCCTATTGTAGACGCGCCTTAAGGCTGCCTGCCGCACACACCTTCCGTAACAGTAACCATATGCGGGATTCTCTTAAACGTTTTATCGATGATTGTCGCTATCGTTAACTAGCGACAGCCAATGAGAGCCGCGCTTTCTTTTAGGATTGTCCTGCCATTGGCTGTCGCTAGTTAACGATAACGACAATCATCGATAAAACGTTTAGAGAATCCCGCAACATAAGACGTACCTAGAGACCCTCTAGTAAGAGATGAGACCATGATGTAAGAATACCAGGTGTTCCGTTCCCATGGATGCGCAGTCGTTCAATTAATGGCTGCTCTTAGGCCAATCAGAAATTTGCCTCAAATCATCACAGACTATGTTCAGATTCCCCCGAGTGCCACCCAGCCCCTGTATTCTGTAACTCGTTAAGGCAGTTAACGATATCGTTGCGCAGATATCTTATGGTATAAAAAGCTGCGCAACGATGTCGTTAACTGCTTAACGAGTTACAGAATAGGGCCTCAGCCCCTGTATTCTGTAACTCGTTAAGGCAGTTAACGACATCGTTGCGCAGATATCTTATGGTATAAAAAGCTGCGCAACGATGTCGTTAACTGCTTAACGAGTTACAGAATAGGGCCTCAGGGGGCCTATTCTGTACACGCTTACCGACAGTTGTCAGTGTCGTTAAGTAGCGATAGCCAATAAGAATCGTACTTTTCTCCTAGAACAGTCCTTACCATTGGTTATCGCTACTTAACGACACCGACAGTTGTCGGTAAGCGTGTACAGAATAGGCCCCCAAACGACATCGTTGCGCAGATATCTTATGGTATAAAAAGCTGCGCAACGATGTCGTTAACTGCTTAACGAGTTACAGAATACAGGGGCTGGGGGCCTATTATACTTATTGTTTACCAAATGTTAAACAAGGATGACATGACACCCGGAGAGCACTCGAGTGAGAATCTGAACATGCCCACAAGGTAACTGTCATAACTGCATTTACAGGTTACTGTCACAGATTACTTTCACAGGTTACTGTTATAACTGCATTCTTTTTTTCCAATACTTATTTATTTTTACCAGCTTATATTGCATCTAAAATTGTATTATGATACTAATCTTATTTTGTATTGTTTTTAATAACATATAGGCTAGCTCTTTTACAATCCTTGCTTTTAAATATTAAAATTTACATATTTTATATTAGTCATAGAAAAGTTCTATTTGTTGTAGCCCGCGAGTGCTACCACAATTAAGTCTCGCATTTCAGCCTACAACGAGCTGGCGGAAATACAAGATTATTACTGCAAAGCAACCTTTGCATTTCGGCATAGCAACGACTTGCAGAAATGCAAGGCTGCAAATTCCATAACGCGTGCGGACAACGATCACTGATAACGTAAGCAATGACCGAACGCACATCGAACAATTATTAATAAAAAGCAAATCTTGCATTTCGACAGGACAATGAACTGCCGAAATGCAAGAGGACGAAGTCCGCGTTGCACACGGCACAAATGCCGCTAGTTCGATGACTCCGCGACGCCAATATATTCGGAGGTCTAAGGACCGGCGAGAGAGTCTTGTGATACATCTAAACCAGGAAGTAAGATATAAGGAGACTCCACTCCGTAAAATAAAAGTGGACCCATTTTAGGTTTCGAGTTCAGCTTCCGATTCTGATCATTTCTCTTACTCGCACTCATTATGCGCAGCACTACTAAATTCACGAGCGCTGCGAGTGTCGAGAATCGGAAACGGAACTCGAAACCTAAAATGGGTTCATGTCTTGTAGACTGGCGAGACCGAGTGGAGTCTCCTTATATCTTCCTTCATGATCTAAACGTAACGATACGTTACGCGCGTCGCTAGAACCGAGTCATATTACATCCGCGATAACGAGTGTCGCCGACCGGTCTAAGTCACGAGCGAGGACTTTAACCCGAATATATTCTTTAATTAAATCAATTCGACAATTGTAACCAACTATTCGAATTGTAAATAAGCAATTAACCACCAAAGTGTAATCATTCAATCGGGTAATTATATCAATTCAATAAATTAAGGGTTAAATGTAATCAGTGGTAATAACCACTCGAAATTGTAAGTGTTATAATAAATAAAAAGGGGTTATTTTAATAAAAGTGTGGTGCAGTGTGTGTTAATTCTACGACCTTGACCACTTTCCTCGTTTTCCTCGTGGGTTCCAACCCTTTGAGCGGATCGAATCCCAAAATAATATCTTGTTGCACCGAGAGGTACAACATATTTTCATCTAAAAAATCTGGAAAAGTCAAGAAATATTAAAATTAATTTTCTGTGGCAATCTTTATCTATACATTATTTGTATCTACACATACTTACCTATATCTACTTACCTATACTTACTTACCTATGTTTCTTCATTTAAATCTATACTTACCTATATTTACCTATATTTAGTTATCATTTCTTTTTTGTACCATAAATTTTTATTAGCTCTGGAGCTTTTTAAATTATACTCTTTCATATTTTGAAAAATTTATTTATATTTTTACTACATATTTCCATTAATACTATTTGAATTCCGCTCTAATTTTGAGGCAAAATTCTTATTGGCTCTTTCTATATTCAGTCGCCATTATGCGCAACGGAACACCTGGTATTCTTACATAGTATTCTTACATCATGGATGAGACGAGAGACTGGTTACTCGTGATTGGCCAAATGTTACTAAGTAATTTCGCCGCCATGTTTTGGGACACTACGCTTGTGTTAGTGTGTTAACCTATACGTGAACAACTGTACTTGTGTATTGTGTTTACCCGGTTTTTCAGATTGAAATTGAAACGGTTTAGCAGAGTGCAGACG